TGCTATTGGAATCAAGTGAGGATTGTGGTCATCCTCTGGAATAAAATGTAAAGAATTGAGAATCTTGTAAGCTCTTAAAGTATTTGGATTAACTAGACTGTGGTTGATATCTGTTGTAATGATTATTTTACATGAGCATGTATGTACAATACTGTATGTCCTGTGGGGTGGAGCCATGTGTGTCAGAAGCTCCGGAATTATGTAATTTATTTATATTTTAATGCAATCAAGTGTGGGGCCCGGTTGAGAATTTACTTTATTAATCCCTAATCGAGCTCCACGTCACCCACCCCGTTTGGGGGGCGTGATAGTATGTATGATTTTAAGGGGCATCTTTGCTCTTTCACCCTTTGCCGAAAATGGCCTCTTGGTCATTTTTCCTTCTAGACAGGATTCGCAAACCGATAGAGTGCCAACCTTTAGCTCTCTTAAAGGACCATCCTTTCCTAGTCTTTTAATCATATCTATGTTTATATGACCTAGCCTCAGATGCCACGAGTACGTTTCATTTTTGTTAGAAACCATTCTTCTTTTAGGGGTTAGTTCAACGACTTTGAACATTTCAGTTTGCAGCATTTCGTTGAATATGGGTTTAACAAAGTAAAGACCATCATTAACAAAACTAGAACGAATATGAATTCCATTCTTAGATAAAGAAACACAATCAATATCAAAAGAAACTGAAACAAATTGTTCATGCAATCTAGAAACCGAAAGCAAATTTTGTTTGAAATTCGGAATAAAATAAACATTGTCTAACAATAAATATTTATTATTTGCAAAAGATAGTCGCACTGTCCCTACTGCCATCGTTGAGATCCTTGCCCCATTGCCCACTCTCATCTAGAAAGATCCCTCTTTAAGATCCCTGGACATTTCCAGCATCTTGCTTCTTCTTTTTCAGCTCATCGAGGTACTTTTTGCAGTTCCTCTTCCAGTGGTCGTCCTAGTTGCAGTGGAAACACTTTTTCTTAGGCTTTGGAGCAACCTTGTTCTGCTTGTTCTTCTAGATCTTCTTCTTCCCATTGCCCTTACTGTTCTCATGATTCTTCTTCTTCTTGTTCTTTGATGAAGAAGGTTTTCCCTGTGACGACCCTCCTATGAGGCCGCTACTGTAACTTAAACTTTAACTTGTACTTACTGGGGTTTCTTAAAATTTGCGGAACATTTTTTTTTTTTAATATAAGAAAGAATACTTTCATAATTTGTAACAATAATTTCAAATAAGTGAATCACTAAATTTCTTAAAGCTTTTCTTAATTTCAGTTAAGATAAAACGTTCTAAAAATATCTTTCAAACAGAGCAGCATTTGAACTCTTATTTGAAATGCTCTTTAAAAGCCTTTCTAAAACTAGCCAATTCAATCGGGCCATTTAATTTTGACTTTAAAACGGATTTCGTGAGAAATCTTAAATTCAAGTACATCTTAAAGCCCTTTTAAAATCAATCATTTAAATCGTCATGTTTAAAATTTATTTATTTGTTGCATGCTCTGTTGCAACGTTCTAAAACTTAAATACTCAAAACGAGGGTTGTTAGCTACAACCTCGGTTTCCTTAACATACATATGTACCTATACTTTTTAAACATACATGCTTGAAACCTTTAAATCATATATACATATACATGATTTTTCTTAAACTTACTGCGGAAGATAACTGCGTGAGCGGTATCCATTCCCATCTCCACCATTCGTCCGCCGCTTGC